GAGGGCAGTGTCACTGGCCCTCATATGTGGGATCCGAACCGGGGCCCTCTGGCTTCCCAAGCCAGTTCTTAACAATCGCGCCACTCGGCCGGCCCTCATGGTTCCTTTTGATGTTATGGTTGCATTCCTCTATGAGAGGGTGGGGGCATTTAAGCAGAGTAGAATTTGACAAGAAAACTTGAGGAGTGAGTGTTGGTTGCAAACACAAGAGGTCCACATACAGACAGTGCCAAAAAAAGTGTACATATTTTAAGAAAGGAAAACTGTATTAAAATTGTAATAATATATACCGATAACAAAAGATGGATACAAGTCACGTTTGACTTCTGCAATTACAAGAGGTACTCAAAGTGGTTACCATCAGTGTCCAGATAGTCTGATTATGGTGAACTACTGCTTGAGCAACGTTGACCAAAGCGTCCACTTGTGTACATCTTTTTGTCACCCCTGGTATATTTAGAGGTTGAGAATGTAAGAACCCAGCCAAGTAGAATGAGAAGTATCCAGGCTATGGTAGGAGGAGGGTCAGAAGAAGATGCCCCACAAACAAGTGACAAATATATTCTGAGGAGGAGGAAGTGATATATTTAATTGAAGGTCACAGATAATGTCAAGTAACCTGAGGACTGGCATCTACCATTTGATCATGTTGCATTTTTACATCCAGATACTGCCTTCTTTCACTTGGAGCTCTCTTTTTCTCTCCATGAAGCTTCAGTGAATACTTGGAACTCCCTCTTTCTTGACTTCCTGTCTACTTTGTAGCTACATCGTACTAAGTCATGATCATATATTTTATTGTATTATTTTACTGGCTGGTGTGATGCTTGTTTTTCCATATAGAGAAAAGGGTCTGTATCTTATTCTTATTTAGTATAAACAGCGTTACATCTGTTCATCATATCATTCTCAAAAGCAGGTTTTGTTTTGTATCTTTTTTGCCTTAATTTTGTTTTTTAATCAGGAATGCATGTAAACTATGTGGAGCTTTCTTAACCTACAGGCTCTGTCTCTTGAAACTCAGCTTTTGATTTGCTAGATATGGGGAGTGATCTGAGCATATGAAGTTTGAAAGGCTTGCCGGGAAATTCTGCTTTGATCCCTGTAGTTGAAGAAGCACCCCTCTCATATGCTCCAAGAGAGATTCAGATGTAACGAACAACAGAAATACCTTGCAAATATAAAAATCCCATTTGGAAAGGGTTGACCTTGGTAGATAAAACTTAAAAATTTTTAGCATTTGATCATGAGGCATAGACAGGGACTGCTTTACAAAATCAGAGGAAATTGAGCCTTGATAAAGTGTTACAGAGAGAATAAAGTACTTTTTTTGGAAGCATGATAAAATAATTTCTGTAAGAAAGACAGCAGGATTTTGAATAAAAATAAGGTAAGGCTTTGTGTGTCAGTAATAATATACAAAAGAAGACTTTGGAAATGGAAATGAGGCAGCTGATGTGGGAGAGTCTTAATAGATTGGCCTGTAGGAGACTATGTAAAAGGAAATGGCTGGTTACTTTGGATTTTATGTTAATTATTGGCTTAGAAAGTGTGGGTTTGGTTTTGTTTTATCTTTTTTTGGCCAGTTTTAGAGAGTCTTGCTTGATAGTTGGATTGTAGCATTATAGCAATAATAAGGCATAGCCTAACATTCTAGGAAAAATGGAAGATAAGGCAGTGAATGTTTTGTTCCTGGATGGAGAATGATTCTTCAGAATCTCTTAATTGATGGGTACTAGAGGTGACGTAGGAACAGAGATATAGGAAGAATGTGGAATTAATTGAAAGTAAAAAATTTAGACATGACTATATTAAGGAAATTATAATGGCAGATATAGGACATGATGGTCTATACCTGTGCTGTCCAGTGTGTTGGCCACTGGCCACATATGGCTATTTAAATTGAATTAATATTAAGTAAAATTACAAATTCAGTTCTGCTGTCAATGCAGCCATATTCAAGTGCTCAATAGCCATACATAGCTAGTGGATTCCGTATTGGAAAACACAGATCAGAACATTTCCATTGTTGCCGAAAGTTTTATTGGACAGCACTGTACAAGCTACAATATGATTAAACTTATTGAAGAAGGTGTTATTTCCATCAATCAGTACAACTATAACTCTTCTCTGGGACATGGGCAAATGGTCCAGACCTATTTTTAATTTCAGATGTACATGTATGTGTCTGGATGTACTTGACCTTGTGAAGTTGTATCATAACTACATAGGAAGTTGAGTATTGACTAAATACAGTATTACTCTAAATAGGTGATTGATGTTTTTAGGAAAGTTTAATTTGGGCATACAGTTGGGATGAGAGGGGAGAGATTTAGTAACTAGGCAATTATTGAATATTTTACTACAGTAATCTTGAAATGAAATGATGTGGATCCTATACTCTGATTTCCCAATTCTAATCCTTTGTTACTAAAATCCACATTGTTCATTTGTTTAATCAGCATAAATAGAGTTTGATGTCTCTGGATGGGCTTGTCATATTCTCTCTGCATATCCCTCTCTCAAAATTTTAAAACTGGGAGTGCATGAAGCTTTTGTCCTGGTCCTTCCCCTTTTTTTATTCATTCTTCCAAAATTATCTCATCTACTTTCATGCGGCCCAAATATTTAAATGATATTTATATACACATGACTTAAAATTGTTATCGCTAGACCTTTCTCCATACTTGTAGATCTAACTGGTATGTCATATTCTTTCTTGAATAAGTATTATGTCAGACCTGATGTGTGTCTCAAAATGTAGTGCATCATTCTCCCCAAATGCCAAACCTATCTCTGTAACCTCCCCCATTTTATTAAATGGCACCAGCACCTACAGAGGTCTGACAATTAAGTTCACAAGCTTGCCATCGTGCGCTTACATTGGCAGTGCTGTACAAACAGCTTGGTAAGGTTTCATAATCTTGGTATATCAGTGTCTCACAGCTGTGTTTGTGGTGACATGTGGTGGTGTCTTGCTGAGTGGTGTTTATTATTGTTGTTGCATGTTTTTGTGTGCTGTCGCAAGAATGATTGAGTTTGAATTAGAGCAATGAACAAACATTAAATTTCTCGTTAAACTTTGCAAGAGTGGAGGTGAAATCAGGGACATGTTAGTCCAAGTTTATGGGGATAATGCCATGAATAAAATGGCAGTGTACAAATCAGTTACATGTTTTTCTGAGAGGGGAGAACACGTCACTGATGAACAGAGGTCAGGGCGCCCAGTAACAAGCAGAACTGATGAAAACATTGCAAAAATTAATCGAATTGTGTGTCAAAATCGTCAGCTGACTGTGAGAAGCATAGCAGACCAAGTAAATATTAATAGAGAAACAGGAAAATCTTAACTGAAAATCTTGCCATGAGAAAGGTGTGTGCAAAAATGGTCCCAAAGGAGCTCACCAATGAACCAAAAGCAAAGGAGAGTCGAAGTTTGCCAAGACCTTTTGGAAAGGCAAGACGATGTTTTGGTCTTTGATATCATTGGTGATGAAACATGGATGTACCAATACGACCCTGAAACAAAGCGTCAAAGTGCATAATGGAAGTCAGCTGATTCTTCACGACCAAAAAATTTCCATCAGTCCAAATCAAAAGTCAAAACAATGTCGCTAACGTTTTTTGATATCAGAGGGATTATTCATTATGAATTTCTACCAACTGGACAAACAGTTAACCAAGTTTACTATTTGGAAGTGCTGAAAAGGCTGTGTGAAAAAATTAGACGTCCTGAACTTTTCACCAACAATTCATGGCTCTTGCATCACGATAATGCACCAGCCCATGCAACACTGTCTGTGAGGGAGCTTTTAGCCAGTAAACAAATAACTGTATTGGAACATTCTCTCTACTCACCTGATCTGGCCCCCAATGACTTCTTTCTTTACCCAAAGATAAAGGAAATATTGAAGACATTTTGATGACATTCAGGACGTCAAGCTTAACACGATGACAGCTCTGATGGCCATTCCAGAAAAAGAGTTCCAAAATTGCTTTGAAGGGTGGACTGGGTGCTGGTGTCAGTGCATAGCTTCTCAAGAGGAGTACTTTGAAGGTGACCGTAGTGATATTCAGCAATGAAGTATGTAACACTTTTTCTAGGATGAATTCGCGAACTTAATTGTCAGACCACGTAGATGCTTAAGCCACATATTGAGGAGCTATCCTAGATTCTTCCCTTTTCTACCTCCAACATTCGTTCTGATATCTCCATGGTAGTCATTTAATGTTGAAGCTACTATTATGTCTTGCCTGAATTCCACCATAGCCTCCTGTGTATTCTGTCAACAATTTCATCTCTCCAATTCATTCTTATACAATAATCATGTCACCTTTTGGAAATATCAATTCAAAATGTATTGTATTCCTGCCAAAAGATGTTTGGTGGCTTACTGCTATTGCGCTTAGCAGAAAATCCAATTTCTAACAAAATCTTCCTACATGATCAATATGTTCTCAATTCTACCTACTTTTACAAACCTATCCATGTTCACTTCATGCAAGCTTTGTATAGTCTGGGTACACCAGCCTCTCTTTCATGTTTCTTGATCCTGCCTAAGTTTTCTGTGCCTCTAGGTTTTTCCACTGGCTGTTCCCTCTTCTTAGAAAGTTCTTCTAAGCATAATATTGCTAATTCTTATCCTGTGATATCAGCTCAACTTTTCCTGTGGATGACTACTTTATCTAAGGTTGACCTACCACTACTCTACCACCTCCTTCATACCATTTTTTGTATTCTTCATTTTATTATTATTTTTTGCTTGGCTGTTGATTCTCACTCACTTGCTTTATCTTTTTCACATTACTAGAATGACAGTTCCAGGGAGACAAATACATCATTCACTTTAAAAGTTGCGCTAAAATAGCCAATTTGTCTCAAATAAACTTATTTTTATTCAGAAAAAAAGAGCTGTGCCAAAGTGACTAATATATTCTAATATAACATTCTAATGTAGTCCCAGCACCAGCCCATTCAATGTTTGTTGGATGAATGGATCCATCCTCTTCACCTTCTTTTTTTTCTGTTCCAATCACGGTGTGGTTCTTTTTCTACTTCTGTCCCCATTTTACAAGGTCCTATTTGAAAAGAAACCCCAGAAATGTTTATTCATTGTAGACTATCATTATTTCTTTTCTTGCTGTTTTATAATATTGTCTATTTTCAATAAGTGGCTGTTTCTTCTCTTGCTGTTTTATAAAATTGTCTATTTTCACAGAGCATAGGATACATTTTCATAGGGTACATTTCTCTTAAACTGGGATTGTATAAGAGCTAGCCCAAACCATGGCATTTTTGTATCTTTCCCCCCTACAATTATCATGGATGTTTTTATTCTTCTTTTTCCTAGAAGAAATATGGGAGAATGATCATATGCAGTGGCACCCAGAAAACCAAAACGAGATTAAAACTTTGGAAAGATGTCAACAAAGTTATGCACTTGGAAATAATTTTGATTTTTGCAAAAGTGTTGTTCCTTTAACACAAAGACACAATAAGTTTGGCTCACATTGTAAAAATCTGAAATCACATTTAGATTTTGTTATCCAGAATAGAAGATATGCAGGAAAGGATTCTGATGAGTTTAGTATCTTTGGGAAATCATCTCTCTATATCCAGCATGATAAAACTATTACTGGAATTAAATACCATGGATGTGTTAAACCCAGTAGCACTAAATCACAGCCCAGGGATCATCAAAAAACTTATCCAGGAGAGAAACCACATGAATGCAGTGAGTACGGGAAAGCCTTCTCTAGGAAGGCACAGCTCATTAGACATCAGAGAACAGAAAGAGGAGAGAAACCCCATGGATGCAATGAATGTGGAAAAACATTCATGAGGAAGATTCAGCTCACTGAACATCAGAGAACTCACACAGGAGAGAAACCCCATGAATGTATCGAGTGTGGAAAAGCCTTTTCCAGAAAGTCACAACTTATGGTACATCAGAGAACTCATACAGGAGAGAAACCCTATGGATGTAGCGAATGTGGGAAAGCCTTCAGCCGGAAGTGCAGACTCAGTAGACATCAGCGATCTCATACCGGAGAGAAACTCTATGGATGCACTGTGTGTGGGAAATCCTTTTCCCAGAAGGCACACCTCATTGCACATCAGAGACTTCACACAGGAGAGAAGCCTTATGAATGCAATGAATGTGGAAGAACCTTCTTTTTTAAGTCAGACCTGACCAAGCATCAAAGAATTCATACAGGAGAGAAACCTTATGAATGCAGTGAGTGTGAAAAAGCTTTCAGAAGCAAGTCAAAGCTCATTCGGCATCAGCGAACTCATACCGGAGAGAGACCATATGCCTGCAGTGAATGTGGCAAAGCCTTTGCCCATATGTCAGTCCTCATTAAGCATAAGAAAACTCATACAAGAAAGAAAACTATATGTTGCATTACAGCCGATTCCAATACCACCCCCCCTGCATTAGCCTCTGACCCTATTAGTTAGGAGGGAGTGCCTCGGTATGACTTGAGGCACGTAATCTCTCTGAGGAAGTGTCTCGGTATGAGGCCGGCAAAGCTCCCTCTGGGGAGTGTCTCAGGTGACTGGGACCTATTGGAATGATAATAGTTATCTCCCCTGGGAGGACATGGTAACAAGTGTTCTGGGGCTATGTGGCCGGAAGTGTGAAGGCATAGCATTTGTTGGAACACAATGGGATATGTTAATGGAAAGAGGCCCGAAGGCACACAAATCACACACGGTTGCTAATTGATTGACAGCAGTTTTACTTCTTTGAAGATTCTTAATAAAAACCATGCACTGACCCGATTCGGGGCTCAGTCTTCTCTGGCTGAGTCCCTTGGTCTCGCTCAAATCTAACTTTTGTCTCTTGACTTTATTCAATCTGTGTCGCCTCTCTCGAGACCCATTTGCCCTTGCCACGCTGGACGTAACAACTATAAATTCACTGAAGGTGGAAAGAGCTTCCTCAGGGAGTCATAGCTCTTTATATATGCATGAACTCTTACAGGAGCAAAACTCTGTGAACACAGTACCTGTGGAAGTGTCTTCTTCGGGAACTCAGCCCTTATTAAACATTGGTGAGCTTTTAGGAGGTAGAAATGTAGTGATTATGGAACAGCCTTTTCCAAGAAGTCAGGCCTCAGCAGATGACCAGGAATTTGCACAGGGAATAAGTCTTGCAAATGCAGAGTGTGTGACCACACCTTCAGTAATAAATTATGTCTTATATGTTACAGATATTGTGTAGGAAAAAGTCCTCTGATACCAGAAATGTGGAAAGTCTTTTAGCAAGAATCCTGCACGCATTATATGTCAGAGTTCACTTAGGATAGAAATGCCAAGGATGCAGTGCTTCTGTTAGAAGTTAGACTTGTTCAATATCAGTGAAATCATATTGGGCAGAAATGCAGCTATTGTGGGGAAGCGTTTGCTTTGAGGTGATATAGTGGTTGATATCAAAGAATTCCCATCAGAATCTTAGGAAAGAATGTAATGGTTTTCAATGACAAATTGTACCTCTTCACATGTCAGAGCATAGAAAGAGTAGAAAGAGTACTCTACAGACACAATGTGGAAGACATTTTTAGTAAACTATGGAAGAACTCAGGAAAAAAATACCCTCCTGAAAGCAATAAAAGGTGGAAATTCTAACACCAAGTTAACTTGTGTATAACAATTTTATAACTTGGAATCTGAGACAGACTTCTCTAATAAATGAAATCTTTTTGGACACCAGGAATTGCATTATGTAATTAAAACTTATGAATATAATGAATGTAGAAACACAACTGTATTATTGTTTCTTATGGCTGCTTTACAGCTTACCACGAATTTGGTGACTTAAAACAATATAAATTTAATATCTTACAGTCTGGAGATCTGAAATCTAAAATGCATCTCACTGAACTAAAAGCAAGGTGTTGGCAGGGCTGCATTTTTGGAGGCTCTTGGGAAGAATCTTCCTTTGTTCTTCCAGCTTCTAGAAGCTTCCCAAGTTCCATGGCTTAAAATCCCGCCCTCCCCTTTCATCTTCAAAGCCAACTACAGCTGCTCAGTGCTTTATGACTCTAATGCTGATTCTTCTGCCTCCCTCTTCCACATTTAAGGACTCTTGTGATTATATTGGGCCCTCCCAGATAGTCTAGGATAGCGGTTCTCAACCTTTTACAGGGTTCGCCTAAGACCATCGGAAAACACATATTTTCGATGGTCTTAGGAACCGAGACACCGCTCCTCTATCCGTCTCCAGGCCCACATGCAGATATGCCCACATACAAGTACCTGGCGACCCCTGTGAAAGGGTTGTTCGACCCCCAAAGGGGCCGTGACCCACAGGTTAAGAACCTCTGGTCTAGGATAATGTCCGTGTCCTAAAATCAGCTAATTAGCAACCTTAACTCCATCTGTTACATTTATTCCCCTTTGGTTTATAACATAACATATTCACCAGTTCTGGAGATTAGGATGTGGACACTCTGGCCCCCATTGATTCATGTTCACCCCACATGCAAAATGCATTCACCCTATTCCAACATATCCCAATGTCTTAATCCACTACAGCACCAACTCAAGGTCCAAAGTCTCATCTACATCTTATTAGGTCAAAAGTGCCAAATCTCATCTCAATCAAATATCAGTGAGGGCTCTGAGTATAATCCATTCTGAGGCATAATTCTTCTCTGTCTATGTGAACCTGTGGAACTCAAGAAACAATTATATGGTCCCAAAATATATCATTTTATCTCCTCTTTAATTTCCCTTTGTCATGGAATGTAACATAGGTTCTGGGGATTAGGACATGGACATCTTTGGGATGCTGTCATTCTCCCCACCACAAAAACAGTAGATTTCAGAGAATTCACACTGCGATAAATTCCTACCCAGCCATTGAATAAAAGTGGAAAAACGTGTTCCCAGAGAAGCAATTATCTAGTACTTATGATCTGAATACATTCTTTTTTTCTATAATCAGAGAATCTTACACTGTAATTGTTACATATGGATTGTTACATATGGAATGCTCTTGGGATATATAAATCAAATTAGCAGCACTGGAAAAGAACTCTTAAATTTACTAAAGGAAAATGAGACTTATGCTGCTGGGAATGTTGCCAAACATACGTTTATATCTATTCTGAAATTCTGTAAATTAACATATCCTGTTCTAAGTATAGAATGCATATACTATAATGCACCTAAATACTGACCAGCATTTTTCACAGCCAATTCCAACAACTTCTTTTTCTTTAACAATAAATATTTAACATATATACCCTTCACCTTAAATAACTAAAAAAAATATATACAAAATATATGAATGGACTGTTTTCAGATATTGGGTAATAGGGAGCTCAGGACAGCTATCTTTGAGAGAAAGGAAACAAATTAAGTGAGCCTTAAGATTGTTCCAGCTTACTACCTGGAGAGTTTTCATTCTGCAGCATAGGGAGAAGAGACTCAAACAGATCCCAGCAGTCTCCCTGAATTGAGATGGAATTTAGAGTATGGAGAATTCAAATTCATGGGGCAGATTACTGGAGAGGAGAGAACTGCACCTAGAGAGTGAGAGCTCCAGAGTTCTGTAGTGTTCCCCCCACAAGTTTTTAAGTTGTAATCAACACATATGTGCAAGGCAACTCTTTAGGCTGGAGAAAGAACCGCTGGAAATGAACAGGCAGAACCATCCTTGTAGCTTGCATAAGGTTGGGGATTATATGTGTTTCTACCAGCTGGAATGGAAACAATACCTAATGTTTGGAGAATCACAGTGAACTTCAGAAAAATATTGCCTCAGTGGGTGGCTCAAATTGGATCCAGACTAAGAGCTGCTATGAACTCTCCTACTAACGCATAAATGCAAGCCACTAAAGGACCATGCTTTCCAAATAATTTAACTACCAGAACAAAGCCGATAGTATTTAATGGAATAGAAAGGAACCCCTCAACATTGTGTAAATTTAAGGTGTACAATGTGTTGATTTGACACATTTATTTATTATAATATGGCAAAATAGATAATAGCATTTGCCTTCTTTCCATAATGAATAATGAAAACTATTACACAGAGATTTAGCCTTTGTAACTAACGGTAAAAACAAACATATACTGATAGGTCTTTTTCACATCAGTAACGATCATCACAAATTGAAGCAGCTGTGTCACTGCAGGTATTAATGTTATTTGACTATATATCTGTGCCCTTCACCTGGGATGAGTGGTCGCTACTAGGTTCCGCTCAGAAGAACCTATATCAGGATGTGATGTTGGAGAATTATAGAAACCTGTGACACTAGTTAAAGATGACTGCCCTGTGTCATTCAGAATGTGCACAGCCAATAGCCTTTTCTGCCATAGTTGACCTGACTTTCAAAGAGCTTCAAGGTACTGGACTTGAGTTTATAGGCAATAGACTCTTAGTTCCTCTTCTGTTCCCAGCTAGAACTTAATGTGCTCTCACCTTGGATAGATCTTTAATCTGTCAAAGTGAAAATGTGTCAGTTCCTGAAACATTTTTTGCTCTTCCTAGACATCCCCCACCAAGTCCAATGATAAGTGTCCAAGTCTTTGTCATTTCCCATGAACAGGCAGTCAAGCTACCAAACCAGATATGATCCTTAATTTCAAGCATGGAGAAGAGCCATGGAAAGTAGAAGATGAATTACAATGTCAGTGCTTTTCAGGTGAGTGAGCAATTGAGAACCATTAAGATGTGAGATCTATAAAGTAAATTAGTTGGCCAGGAAAGGGTAACCCCTTGCAGATGTGTTTAACAAGGCTAAAACTTTGAAGGTTATTACAAAGAAAATCATTGATGAGGCTCTGTTTTACTTCAAGGAAGATGCGCCTCTTTTTTGCTCTTTTGGATTGATTGAATGTTCAGTAGAATGTTGTTTTCTTTGCAGCTTCTAGACTTCCTCCTCCTCCTTCCTCTCTGGAAACGTCACTTCCTGTTTTCTCTACGTGTCTTGTTTTTACCCCTTTTACCTGATCAAATAATGTAATTCCAGTTAATACAGCAGCACCTTTAATCCTGGGGTGAGGATATCTGTCCAGGTGGACTTCTGTGGGCCATATAAGGTTGTAATCAAAGCAAGTTAGAAGGTGGGACTATTGACCACAGTGGTGTTCTCGAAATATGGTATTTAAGCCTTGGAAAGGTTCATTGTCTATTGCATGCCAAATTAATTAGAGAAGAAAGACTCAGTAAGAGAGGGTAACTATACTTATCTGTAAGTGAAAAGCTGAGGATCCTTCATTCTAACCTGCTTACCCCAGGGATTTGTTCAAGACTTAAGTCGGCATCTTTCCTTGGTAGTCATTGCACATAATGGATGGACTTCCTTTATTCTCTAGGCATCTTCTAAAGTCTTCAGACTCAGAGAACATGAAGCTTCATCCTTTCCTATTTCTATCACTAGTTCCCGTGTGAGCGCTTTCAGTTTCATGGCCTTAATATTATTTATATGCTTATGATCCCCAAATTTCTGTCTACAAACCAGACCTTCCCTTATCCCTACACATTCACTTGGATATTTCATTTCTGCATGTGAAGATCTAATTGCTACCTCAAACTTCATGTCACTCCTAGTTTTTGGGGTTTTTTACACCACAAATCTAATTTATTAGCAAGTCTATTATTTACTTTCTTTTATATCCTGAGGTCCTATGTAACTGTGTTTTCACTCAAGCCTCAACATCCATTACCTCTTGTCAAAATTATTAGTTTTCTTGAAAATACTGTCAGTTCTTTACTCTGGTTTCTCTCTATTCTTCACATAATAGCCAGATTTTTTATTTTAGTATTTTTATTTATTTATAAAAAGTAATGGAAGTCAGTGTTTCCAGCCTCCTCACCCCCAAAATTCATGAACACAAAAATAAACTTAGAAACACCTGGATTTTTAAAGACATCAGGTTTTGACAGTTACCTGCGTAGAAAATAAGAGGTATAGAAGGAATCACTGTGTAAAAAGAACAGTCTTCTGAGTTAGAGGATGGAGGGAAAGATCTAAAGTATAATCTAAGAAAAATGCTGTATGACATAGCAGATCTTTACCAATTTTCACAACCACAGTCCACAAGCCTAAAAATAGTATTTATGTCACAATATTTAAGACTTTGCCTGTGTGATAAAACACACAGGGTGACATTTTAAAAATGAAAATCAGGACATGTCATCTCTCTCCCACTATTACCTTGAATGTCACCCTGTCACTATTAGCATAATATCCACATTTCTTCCAGGATCCTCCACATATGAGCATTTCCTGATTCCTGCCTAAATTTTTATTTACTTCTATACGTAAAAATTTTTGAAGAGTAACATACACACAGAAAAGTATACTAATATATGCATACAGTTCCATTAATTTTTACAATCAGCACATTGTAACAAGCACCTAGATCAAGAGTACTGTGCAATGTGCCATTTGTGAATATAAAACAATTTATCTATTCTACATTCAGGCCATTATGAGTATTGTAATGCTTTTCCTTTATTTTAAATTTTTCTCCTTTTGAATAGTTTAGACTTCGTGAGAAATCTCAAAATTATACACACATTTCTTGCACATTTTTTTTGCAGATTACCTTAAGTGGTAATATTTTACCACATATCCTTTATCATATTTTATCTGTGTTTATCTAACTATCATAACACACACACACAACACACACATAACACACACACACACACACACACACACACATGCACACACACAAGCACAAGTACATAATGTTTTTCGGAACTCTTTACCCCTAAATACTTAAGTGTATTTCTTAGAAATGGTCATTTTTTTACATAATCAAAATAGTTATCAAAATCAGAATATTAACACTGATACAGAACTATTACCTAATCTACAAAACTTACTTAAATTTTACTGATTGTCTCACTAACATTTTTTATATTAAAATTTTTTTTCCTGGACCTCTTGTTATTTAGCTCATTCTGTTGTGGGTACACTGGCTCTCACCCAGAAGTCAGATCTCACTAATTATGACTCAACT